GGTTCAACAAGCTTAGAGAGACAATTAATTAAACAGATTCACAATCAATACTTATGTCTGCACCACAACAGGTTTAGTCCTCCGGCACATGACGGAACATATCCGCTCCGTTTTTACAGTCATAATGACTGATTACCTTACAAAATACAAATATTCCCACAAATCTGTGTGTGTGTATCTCTGTGTTATCACCGGTGCTGAATCCCACATTACCTCATTAACCACATCTTGAAACCTCCGAGGCAATTGGGACATGATCATGAATTGAGAGAGCAGCCTGAGCATTTCTGATGGAATGTAGCAAACACAAACCCAGTCTATTTTATATATAATATACTGTAAGTGAGTGAGTGAGTGAGTAAGTTTAGTTTTATACTGCTTTTAGAACTTTTCAGATGGACACCAGAAATGGGCTTCACACATTGTACCCATGTGGGGAATCAAACCTGAGTCTTCAGCATGACAAGTGAACACTTTAACCTCCAGGCTATCCAAATATACTTTAAGGAAATTATGAATTGAATACCACCTCAGCTGACAAGTTTAGAATAATAGAATAATTTAAAGGTTTAATTCATACCCAGACTACCACCACTATTTTGTTGCTCATGAATTCATATTAATGTAGTTTTAATTAATACAGGTAGAAATGTAAAGATCAGTGTGTCTGCAGCTGCAAATCTGAGATAAATACAACCTCAAACACCCCACTAAAAACTATTCACAAAAACTGAACAATCACTAACCACCAAGTCTGGCAGTGGGTGTTACCTGTTATTAGATGTTGGAAACAACGCACAGATAATTGGTTGGTTTGCCAATCAATTGTCATGGATGCACTTGCAATATATATATATTATATAAAAAAATGTGGATACTGAACATAACACAAGATAATCACACAACTTTTACAGTTTTCCCACAACGATAAATATTGATCGGGAAATTACAAAGTATAGTTATAGTTTCAGTTACAACATAACCTTTATGAGTCCATAAACTGTGACGCTTTCAAAGGCCTATCCTTTGCCCCACAACTTGTGAGTAGACATTAAGAGAGTATGTGTAATTCTCTCAGTAACAACACACACAGAACAACGTGTGACATTAGCGGTACACTGATACACAGAGTACATAGCAAGTTAAGCCTACAGATAATCGATTAAATGTGCCAGGTCAGATGTGATGACAGTTTTTTCCTGGTTAACCTGACTATGATTTACATCTATGGCCACAGACACAGTTCCAGGTGTGCCAGGTTTGTATCCTACCTAGTGTGCCAGGCTTGTATCCTACCTAGTGTGCCTGGCTTGTATCCTACCTAGTGTGCCAGGCTTGTATCCTACCTAATGTGCCAGGCTTGTATCCTACCTAGTGTGCCAGGCTTGTATCCTACCTAGTGTGCCAGGCTTGTATCCTACCTAGTGTGCCAGGCTTGTATCCTACCTAGTGTGCCAGGCTTGTATCCTACCTAGTGTGCCAGGCTTGTATCCTACCGCCAGGCTCAGTATCCTACCAGGCGTGCCAGGCTTGATCCCTACCTAGCGTGCCAGGCTTGTATCCCACCTAGTGTGCCAGGCTCATGTATCCCACCTAGTGTGCCAGGCTCAGTATCCTACCTAGTGTGCCAGGGTATCCTCTGGTGTGCCAGGATCCTACCTAGTGTGCCAGGCTCTTGTATCCTACCTAGTGTGCCAGGCTTGTATCCTACCTAGTGTGCCAGGCTTGTATCCTACCTAGTGTGTGCCAGGCTTGTATCCTACCTGGTGTGCCAGGCTTGTATCCTACCTAGGTGTGCCAGGCTTGTATCCTACCTAGTGTGCCAGGTATCCTACCAGTATGCCAGGCCTACCAGGTGTGCCAGGCTTGTATCCTACCAGGTGTGCCAGGCTTGTATACTACCAGGTGTGCCAGGTTTGTATCCTACCAGGTGTGCCAGGCTTGTATCCTACCTAGTGTGCCAGGCTTGTATCCTACCTAGTGTGCCAGGCTTGTATCCTACCTAGTGTGCCAGGCTTGTATCCTACCAGGTGTGCCAGGCTCGTATCCTTCCAGGTGTGCCAGGCTTGTATCCTACCTAGCGTTTAACATGTTGATCATGTTCCTAGAGTAGGTGTATATGTCAAGACCTCCTCCTGTTAGACAAACAGCATTTGGAACATAAGGCATGATTATGGCTTATTCAAAACATGAACAGGACCATCAACAGTCATAGTATTCAGTTTGTACCATCCAACAGGCAAAGAGGGCAGTCTTTCTCCGAAAATCCTTCTACCACAATCGATGTGATTGTTTCCCTGTTATGAAGCAGGTCTAAAGCTGAAAGGCTGCTATCAGCACAGTATCTACAATAACAACAATTTTCAGGTACAGGGTACTGTGTAAAATATTTGTCAGAATTAGTCTTATTGTATACTTATTCTAAAACTCAACAGATCATCCCAGTTTTGAAACAAACTTGAGTGATCACTGGGTGAGGTCCAAGCTAGAATGAGGACCTTTGTTATCGTGGACGGTCCAAGTGATTGGTCTGTGTCATATAGAGACTGTATCTGACAATTCCGGCATCAATATGCACCCATACAGCATCAGACCTACTTCCCTCAAACAGTGCTACAAAATACTCGGGGTTCTGTTTGTAGCTCTTCAGGCTAGAAACAGTACATAATAAAAACATGGGTAATCAAATAAAATTCACCTGGGATCTGAATCTGTTTGAAGTAAAATAACTCCATTGTAAAGGCCTTTAATACAGGAGTACATTGGCTCTAGCAATATATGTAATCTTGTGTTTCTTTGTAGATGACATCTTCTTGTCAAGTGGATGTCTTTGTGCAGGAGAGTGTGAGAGAACATAGCTCCTGTGGGACCTCATTACCATCAGACAAGGTTGGAACAACGCACTTCAAGAGGAGAGTAAACTAACATTCTGTACTGATGGCCAGTATCAACATTGCTGCAAGTAACATTAAGACATTGATCACTCGTCAGTGACATGCTTTTCAAATCAGGGAATCCTGGTAACTTTGTATTTTTCGGCCATACATCTTCAACCCAAGAACCACCTAAACCCGCACTAAGACAAGAATCCCTAGTTGAACCGCAGTGGACATTCCAGATTAAAAATGAGAGGTTGATAACTAAATTAATTCTCACCCTTATTTAATATTATTAACGCCAGAGATACACTCTTCAATGCACAAATCAAAATGATTGTATTTAGAATAAATTCTTAACTTCAACTCAAGATTTTGAAAACATTGCTGAAATGATTCCAAGGTGTGGTTGCATAATTTGTCATGAATAATAAAATACCAACTATCAGATACATATTAACGTAAGAATATCAATCACGTAGATTATGGGAACTGGTTACAGTATATGTTCCAACCTAATTCAAACATAACCTAATCAATTTCCATTTTAGGACTCATCCACTGCTATGATGATATTGTAAGGACTGTAAGGAGACGATTATATGAAAATAAATTTCATAGACGTGTTGTTAGAAAGAAAATCCAAATTTGTGACCATAATGTCAGAAATCGTTTGGCCTGGGCAAGGGGGCAACGATATCGTACATTGAATAATTACTGGGAAAATATTCCCCTCGATTTCATCAGAAATCTTTATTAATCGATTCCAAGGCGGATGTTGAAAATAATAAGGAACAAGGGACACATCACAAAATATTGAGGTAAGACTGTTTATATTGAACGAGTTAAGACACTTTGAACTCCCGCGTAAATTTGTCGTCAACAATCGGTCCGCCATGTTTGTACGTAATAATATGGCCATCCGCTGTATCTTACACCTGATGAGAAAAATATGGTCTTGGATAAAATGGCCTGCTGGAGTGCCTACACTTGAACCAAGCATGCTAAAATCTGAGGACCATCTGGACCATTTTGGATTCTACAATATATATGCATCTAAAATAGTGGTGGTCCGATTAATTGAAATAATCGAAGATTGGTCGCAGTGGCCAAACGACTAAGCAATCGATCACATTTTCTCATAATCGAACACAAACGATTTTGGAACCGCTGTAATAGAGTTTGAAATACTTGATGATGGAACATATCTAGGACGTTGTCAGGGCCGGGAAACGTGTTTATTTCTAAGAAAACTCATTTCACTTTCTGAAAAGTCATGACTGAATATTTCTTGAAGAATCTGGGAAGTTAATGTTACACTGGAACTGAATCATTACACTGGATGTGAAATCTGCAAATGTAATTTGTGCAGTTTCTAAAAACAACAACAGAGAACCAAATGTTTTTTCTTTATACTTATCTGCAACTACAACCTGAATAGGAAAATCTAAAAAATGACGCTAACCAATTTTTTTTCGTGGATTGGTCGTTGGTATTGAACCAATCATCAATTGTGAGATTTCAACCAATTCCCAACACTAATCTAAAAGAATAATAACTTCAGCAGTTGTCAATCGATATGGCAGACGACTTCATTCTTACCTAGGCCAGGTACGACTTGGAATTTAATGAAAACGATGGGTCTGAGCCTAGTTCTGTTGTTAAGAACGTTAAGTCATAATATGATAGCCGTCCATATATAGAACACAATCAATCTACCTTAACCCATTAACGCTATTGGAAAATATATTGATTGCAAAATGCCAGCGACAATGCTTATATCTACGACCGTTCACCTGAGGCTTCGAAGCCTGCAACTGGGGCACTTTGACAGCTGAGAAGAAAGATAGACCGGTAGCACGGGTTCTTGAGGACAGTTTTGTATGGGACACTTTCATAACATCCTCTTGAGTGATAAGTCAGCAATACATCTGACGAACAGTCACGCCATGTTAAATTGTGCTTTGAAGCAGGGAGCAGGCCGAGAAGGCAGTGTTTATATTGTGAGGCCTGTCGGCTGTTCACTTCCTTACTCGGCACACAGGTGAAAATCTTGTTTTCTTGACAAACGTAACTAAATACATACAAAATCAATAGAATTAGATACAATGACAATGTACATACCTTCTGTGGCATCGGTAGTGCCTATAACCACGAGCAAAGTCGCTAGTAATATCGCAGCTAGTAACTCCGTCCTATCACTCTGGCCCGCCATGTTGTGTTGTCGCTTGCCTAAGCCTCGCGCTCGCTAAGTTCACGCGAGAGTAGACCGTACCTCTCCACGCTCCGCGTGCTAACAAGTGAGGCGCACTGTGTTACTCCTAAATTATCAAAACTGTGAAAGAAATTCCTGTTGTAAATAAACTTAATTTCTTTTTAGCGTTGAAATGTATCTTTGTCATCTGTACAGGAACAATACTAACTCTAGACAATCATGTTTCTAATTGACACATTTATCGTATTTATCGTACATTTATCGTATTTATCGTACAATATTAAACTATTTTAAAGCACTGAATTGTTCTGCATCAAGCGAAGAAATAAATAAGTAATTAGTATTTATCGAAACCAGTAGAATTCTGGTAAATTCAACTGTTGTGACCTTTTTAAATTGTACGAAAGCATAGAAGTTCCAATACTATGCAGCGGAGCTGGAATATGGGGGGCATCACCTCAGATATCATCCAGACTGTTCACATCTGTTCTGCCAAATATTTCTTGGACTGAACAAAATTACACCGAATAATATGGCTCTTGGAGAATGTAGTAAAACCTGCTTACAGCTAACTGACAAAAGCTATTAAATTCTGACGCAGACCTATCCACCTGGGACCTTTAAGACTCCCTTACCAAACCTACTACATGTGATTAAATCCACCTCTGATACAGGACGTTATACTTGGGCTTCTGAGATTAAAAATATGCTCTTAAGCCTTGGATTGGGACAAGTGTGGATACAACACCACATGGGAAACATCGATCTGTTCTCAAACCGAAACAGGAGTCTCATTAACCAATTCAGACAATGACCTACCTTTCAGCCGAATTTTCTCGCGTGAAGGCGAAAAGAGACACCACAAACAACAATGGTTACACTGAATTCCAATTCCTTGTTTCATAAAAAAATGGTATGTACAAGTTAATTTTAATTTTTAGCTTTAATAACATCGTATTTCTATATTTTATGTCGAGGTGTAGGCATCATGACCTTAACTAAGACGTCACAGACTGTCCCTGTTTGATGAGGTCGTAAAATTATTCACAATACATCTGGCTCAATGGTTACACTTGTTATGTGTTGTTTGCGCTTATTCAGTGTAGTTTTGTAATGCACGATGTGGATTGATATAATATCAAGTCCGTACCAGACGGCCAAACTTTTTTAGCGGGAGAGCCTAGTTTTGAGATTTCCAGATTTCCGTTTGTCAGAGCACGTTGTACGACAGAGCACGCTGCACGACGTTTTTGCAAGGATTAGAAGGGGCATAGTGTTGCAATATACAAGTGCTTAGATGTATCAAATAATACTGATTAATATTTATGTATCCAGCTGAATGAATTGGTCTTAAAATTCTGGACTGGTTATTGTACTAAGTTGCGCAATAGGACGGAACCCAGTCAGCAGGAAACGAGACTGTTGTGTAATCAATGTTTTGACTTGATCGGAATTTAAGCAAAGACTAAAAGGTAATCTAATTCAGGACTGGCACTCATCCTTATATGACAACTCAAAATGTTGCAACTACAAGCTGTTTAACTCTCTCCTTGATGTTGAAAAGTACTTTACATGTGACATCCAACCTTATCCTATCAAGTATATAGCTAAATTCCGTTGCAACAACTTCAATTTAATAATATAATCTGGTCGTCATAAAAACATACCCCGCAGCCAAAGAATACGTGAAATATGCCCAACTAATAATGCAATGGCCATTGAAGATGAATCCATGCTTTTCTGTGTCGTGCCAAATATCATCATCTACGGAAAACCTATATCAGTCAATGTTTCTTTAAATACAACTTTGCATAAATTCGCTCAGCTCACGCAGTCCACTGATAAAGAGACAACCCAAGCTACAGCTATGTCCCTGTACAAAGTGTTCAACAAACGTCGTGTAAACTCATGAACTTTAAAACTAAAATTAATGTATGCAATATACATTATCAATCGATTTCAATACTGTATTTGGGGCTCGAGACCTCATGTTGTGATATATCTGTCTGTTTGTCTATTAAACAATCTTTATTCTGAATGTAATATTTAAAAAGATATATGTTGATGTCACAGAAAATATGAATAATTTTCCATATTCATTTAGGATATTATCATCTCACACTATTAAAAAAATATTAGCATTGTATCAGTTGTTTGCCCGGTGACTAAGGGGGTCGGATGGTCGGACTCAGTGACCTTGTAGATGCATGTCATCGTGTCCTCGTAGAACGATGCTCATGACGTCAACCACTGGATTGTATAGTCCAGACTTGTTTCACTGCAGGTCGCAGTACAGCTGGAATACTGACGTCGACCACTGGATTGTATAGTCCAGACTTGTTTCACTGCAGGTCGCAGTACAGCTGGAATACTGAATTAGTCAGTTACGTTTTACGCCACTTTTAGCAATATTCCATCATGGCGGGGTACAGCAGAAATGGGCTTCACACATTGTACCCATGTAGGGAATAGAACGCAGATCTTCGGCGTGACGTGCGGACGCCTTAACCACGAGGCTAGCCCACTGCCCTGGAATATTGAGACATTGTGAGACAGACAATATATAAAGTATAACTACTGGGAAAGGGCAGCCGGACATTAGAGCGACATCTCGCAATAAACGTACTTAACTGTGCAGACAGAAATATTCTTAATATCATAAGCCAGTAGGTATCCGATCCTCAAAACCTCAACATAAACAATTAACGCATAAGGCGTTAATCCACCGAACTTGGACGGACATGTTTCCAATTAGCAATAAATATTGTAAATGAAACTGTACTGCAGTAGTGACAAGGAGGACGATACTGAAGTATTACATTGGTTCACACGTCCACGCTTTCAAGAAAGGTTAATATACGAGTGATAATTAATTTCAAACTAAGTTTAAATTATCATTATAAGCAACGGTAAAATATACTAGTAAACAATTTCTGAAAGATAACCATGGATTTTACGAGCGGTTTTGCTCGGTTTTGAGATTCGCAAGAACCGACATGCCTCCTTAGACAGCGATGTTCAACCTCTTCATGTTTGTTACACGCGAGTGTGTAATTAATGAAGTAAATATATTCTGGTTCCAGAGCTCTGACTTATCCTACACCTTACACATGCAGATTGACATTGGCAAATGTGTAGGCCTATGTGTGCAGACTTGGTCTGGCCGCTATAACGCTGATGTGACGTAAACCTCAACTTAACTAACATTGGCAATCACACACTCGGGTATTTATCCCTATATTCAGAACAGTGCACGTGTTAGCAATCACAAACAACATTAATTGACACTCACTGCGGAACAAACATAAACATTTCAAAACTGGGATTTTACCCTCAAATTATAAACGTTATCGAAATGTCACAAGACAGAAAGCAGTCTCCGAAACACAGCAAACCTAAGATTCCAAACACAGAACATATGATACTCCTATCCATGACGTGTCCATGAAACAATCATTCTTGTTCGTTTCATTTCAGACACCACAAAACACCGATGTAGATTTTCCTTTGTTCGGAAGTGTACCTAAAATATGGTGTATAACTTTCTCGAGATTGACTCACTCCGAGTTTTAAGCCACCTTCTGCGGTTTACTAAAAGTAATCCTGTGTTTAAATGGTGGTGTATAATTATCGCTTTAATAGGTCTACTGCAGTAACACGCCTTTAACCGTCAGGGGTGTAAGGTGTCCACTTACTGTGATGGGAGTAACTGTTGAGCGATACTCTTCTTGCTCACGCAAAGTCGTCGTTAGTAACGATGTCCCTGTGTTGGGGCCGACCATGTGATGGTGTTGGGGGTGATATTATTTAGAATAATGTTTTAAAAGAATAAAATCTAGTCTCCTCCTTTCACAGAAACAAATCGCATGTTTCTCGGTATATGACCCAGCCTAGGTTATTTAGAGGCCATTATGACCAATCTTTTATGTGCTTGCCTCGGCGTAAGCTTAGACTCACTCACTCACTCACACGCGCACTCTAAGACGGTGTGGATCGTTGTCTGTGTCGTCACTTCTACTTCGGGGAGACCAGTGAGGATCTGGGTTAGAATATTGGTCTTCAGTAACCCATGCTTATCTCAACCCGTGAGGATCCGAGTTAGAATTGATCTTCAGCAACCCATGCTTATCTCAACTCGTGAGGATCCGAGTCAGAATTGGTCTTCAGCAACTCATGCTTGTCATTAGAAGCGACTAACGGGATCGGGTAGTCAGGCTCGCAGACTTGGTTGACACATATTATCGTATCTCAGTTACGTAGATTTGATGCTCATGATGTTGATCACTGGATTGCCCAGGCTCGATTATTTACAGACCGCCGCCATATAACTGGACTATTGCTGTGTTTAGCGTTAACTAACCAACCAAGCAACCGGGGGCGGATCCAGGATTTGGAGAAGGGGTGGTGGGTGGGTGGTTCACATACATCATGAAGTCCAAAGGTTTGGGGAAATGCTCCACTCTACTTCGAGGCAGTCTGGAACGCCACTATAGCCGAGTACGGAATAAAACAACATTCACCCTGTCGTAATGGGGATAGGTGTATTCGGATGCATGAATAACTGAATGTGTGTTTCATAAAGCCTTTCATAACCCAGGATTGGTGTTCAGTAACCCATGCTTGCTGTATTAAAGAGGCGACTGACGGGATCGGGTGGTCAGACTCGCTGACTTGGTTGACACGGGTCATCGTAACCCAATTGCGTAGACCGATGCTCGTGATGCCAGTCACCGGTCTGTCTGGTCCACATCGAATATTTACAGAACGCTATCACACAGCTGGTGTATTGATGAGCACGGCGTCCCCTCTTACCCACAAGTCAGACGAAGTTCGCCCCTTCGTGCGCTTGACCCATTGACTCCAGACCAAGCACAACCAATCAAGGACCAAGGACTACCTTGCAACTTCGTCACAATAAGGTCAAACCCGGGTCCTTCAGCAACCATCATCGGCCCAGTACCCACAGCTTGTGTGACAAGGAGACTGGGTCAGTGTTAGTGTATATACGTTATTGGACAACTGGTTTATCTTCAG